TCTGTCACTGATAGTTGATGTACGATTTCCAGTCAGTCACAGCAGTTTATCCAGACTGTCACTATCAGCACACACAATATGGAGAGACAGTGATGTAGTAGTGCAGATAGACAAAATTATCATGCCAGCAGAGCTCCACTTCTCTACATGACAAGTATTTACTGACTTGAACTGAATCTAGGTTTTTGTTGGAGCAGCCCAACCATAGAGCAGAGCTATATGTGATGGGGACAGGAAACTGTGGGTTGTGTATGTGTGTAACCTTTCCTCAAACTGGAGATGATAAAAAAAAGTGTCACTTTAAGCAGGAAGCACTTATAAGAGCAGCAACAGCAGCAGCGGCAACAATACTCCTTCATCACTCGTTATGTGGTTGATGAGCAGAATTTCTTTGCAGTGATAATGTTGTTCTAAGGACGTCGGGAGAATAATTTTAGAGTTGGAGCAGCACTTAATGATTCTGTGCACAGTGTCTTAAACCCTGATGGGGCAATACCAAGGTAAGAATAACAAAGAATTGCAGCCATACATCTTCATCACTGGCAGAAGGAGGTGGAAGAAAAATAGATGATATTTTTAGTTGTTTTTTTTTTTGTTTTAGAGAGGAAGATTTCAAGTTGTCGAATGTCCTTGAATCACAGCAAAGTAAGAAATTTATGTAACAACTCAACTCAAATAAAAATATTACTCACAATAGGCAGCTGTAAAAGGCGCTTATGTAATTGCAGCTGTTGCCAAAAAGCTGCCCGCGGAGTGGGAAGCAAGTGTTTATTGGTTTAAAGGTCATACAGAGTGCACAGCAACTGCACTTATTGATCATGTTATTCCCGTGTCAAATCAATGAGAACTATTCCAGAAAGGAATTGTAAGGTTTCTCATCAGCTAGAAATGATTACTGCAGGGTAGAAAAACTTAAACATAGAGATGTAAAGTCCTACTTAAATGTGTCAGACTGTGGGTGTAGGGGGTTTCACTGATCATCCTATCGAGAATCACTGATTGGTCCCATAGGGGAGAGTGGCTAGCAGGCACATAATAAATCACTATGCAGATCGATAAACATGACACCTGATTATCAGCTGATTGACATGAGAAACTAGCACAATCAGCAATATCCCAGTGGAAAATGAGAAAAGGGAAACTGAATCAACCATGTTTGTTGTTTGGAGTAACAGTTAGCACTGACTGTATTGATAGACGATTATTTTATTGCACTGAAAAAAAAAACATCAGTCACTTTAGTTTGCGTAATTTGTCTAATTATATTTACACAGGAAAACGAGTGTGTGCAGTCACAGTTTTTTTTATCTGGTAGAAATGATCTTGTTTGATAAGAATTTTTAGATGCACCGCAATAGATACAAATTCTGTTTGTGAACGGAGGCGTATTCACAGTGGTGTCGAGCTGATAGAATTAGTTGAGCAAACCATTAGCTGACTGACATAAAGACAGCTAATTTTACGGATTGCCATTAAGTTTTGTATTTATGTTACCCAGAGGATCAATCCTAACTTATTTTTCTTTTCTGACATTTTATACTCTAAACAAATAACTGATTGCTCGAGGAACGTTGATCATGGCAGTGAAAAGGTGATGACCAGCTCACAAGTTGGGATCAGAGAACATGGTTTAGTTGTGGGAAACAACTGCCTCTTCCTCGCTAACACAACCTTCTCCCTCAGCCTCTCTGTTACATTCTTGTGAAATTTAAACACCGTCCACAAAGATGTTTGCATGTGTTGCTCACGTCAACTTTACTCTCGGGATGATGAGCTAGAGTTACAGTGCTTTGTTCCCCGTGTGCCGGAGGTGACACTGTCGTTCCCAAGTGCACTTTACCTGTTTCTGATCTCATGTAACAATTAATAAAGGCTTAGTGCTTATAAACAGCCACAATGGCTCTGAGACAAAGGTGTTTTTGAAAGCTCGGGGTGTTTTGATTTTCAGTATTTGAGAGTTTCCATCAAGAAAACCTGAAATTGAATAACAGTGAGTGATGATGAGGCGCATGTTGACTTCTGACATCAGTATGAGGTCTCTGTTTCTTGCACGTGAAGTGATGTTGACAGCTAACCTAAAGGGAATAGCTTTCATTCTTTTGGCGGCATGTAAGAGGCTGAACGTCATTCTTTTTACCCCTGTCACATTGCAAAGACGCGTGACAAATGAGTAGCGACCCCTATTTCTCATAAAAACTTGCAGTGTTTGAGCTCTTCCCATACTGTAGCTCCTGATTTCACATGAGGCTCTGTTTACAGCACAAAAAAAATAGATTGGTCTCTTGGGTGATACCTCCCTTTGAATACAAACAGGTTGTGAGGTAGTATGCATATAATTATCTTTGACAGGCTTTGGTCTCTCACTTGAGATATACAGTGCTGTATTATAGTGTAGTAGAATAGTGAAACAGGCTTTTAGATCCAACAGCATGAGTTATGTTATGTGTTGGACTGTGTGCTGTCTGTGCTCACAGTTTCACATGAAGCAGTGTCGTCAAAAGATCAATTTAACTGGTCACATTCTGAAAATGGAGGAACATTCTTTCCACCCTTCTTCATGCTGCCAGTGCATCCACATGAGAGAGCAGAGATCTTACACAGTGAGCCCATTGTTTGTCATCTATTTACTTCTGTCTTCTGCATCTGAGGGGGAGATAAACCAGGGGTGGTCACATACAAGCCAACGTGCAATGCACACAATGCAGCGACTGCTGGCTTGTGATGCAGATGTGCGAGGGTTTGACACTGTGTTGGCTGGCCTGGAGTTTTATCTCTTGCACCACATGATTAACTCCCCATTTCTGACCTCTAACAATGCGTGCTTGTATGTGTAGCCATGAAAGAGATGTAAAATAGTATGTTTTGATAGGATGTTTTGCAACTCTCTGCAACACCCTGCAGTACAATTTATTTAAACAAACCCACAAAATCCATTTGCTTTCCTCAAACATCTGCCTGAGAGTTTTAGGATTTTGTTGTTTGGCTGCTGTCCCATCCTGTCTGCCTGATTCAGCATGAGTAATATCACCGCGGCACACTGGTGATTTCAAGAGTGCCCCTCTAAGTTGGAGTCCGTCGCTGAGTCACCATGTAGAGGAGAGTAATTGTAGGTGACAGTGCTACAGGCGACAGCACAGACAGCAACCAACCCATGAATTGATGCCGCTGAAATATGCAGAGTCATCTCTGTTGTGTCAGCACACCATCGCTTAAGGACAGACCAGAGTTAAGCTTGTAACTGACTAACTGACTAACTGAGTGGCTTATTCAGAGCTACAGGAGAAGAAGTAGGTTGGACTATCCTCTCAGGTAAGACAAACCCACAATACTCATAATTTTTTAAGTCGGACGGCCTCCTATATTTCAGATACACACAGCAGCCAGGTGGATTGGGATACTCCAAACTCCCTGCATTATGTGTCTGTGCTGTTATGGGCACCCTGCTTGCATGTGAATGTCTATTTGTGTTCGTGCCCTTTAAAGATCTGTGTAATGCAGTTGCTCTAAGCCATTGATTTAACAGCCGTGACTGTCAGGGACAGAACGATAAAACTGATTGAAGAGCACAGTTTACACACAAGGAGATTTGCAGTTAAACAGAATGGATGATCACCCCGATCCGATGTTAGAAATCCCGCGTGCAGCTGGGAAACACACAGCAGCTGAACATCTGGAGGTGGGTTTGAGAGGGGTGAAGCAGAAACAGAAGCCAGGATTAAAATCAGAATGCAAAGCAGGCGCAAAAAAACTCTCTCGGTGTTAATCAAAATGTGACAGTAGAGTAGTAGCCTACATTCATGTGTTTGGCTCATAGAGAGGCAGAAAAGGGTGCACACACACACACACACACACACACACACACACACACACACACACACACACACACACACACACACACATAAAGTTAAACATTACCCGGTATCAGTAGTTGGTTTTGCCCAGTACTGTATTCGTGTTACTTTTTATATTACTGTTGGGTTATTTGCCTAGACTAAAGATATGGTTATATTGACCCAGTGTTGGACACAACAAACTAAAGCTTCACCATAAAAAAACTCTAAACCAATCCTGTTCAACTGATATAATTATTAATCACTCCTATCACCGCTGTATCTGTTTTTTTGTCACCACTTTCACAAAGGTATTGTTAGTTTTACAAAATATTATGCACGTGGAATTGAAAACTGCAGCCCAATTGTAATATAAAAAATAACATTAACAACAATTAACACTGGGTCAAAACAGCTAATTGTCTTGGAGGTTTTCTACCCATTGCTATTAGGTAAAGTTCACCCGGTTATTACGTTGGTGCTACTTTGACCAACATTAGTTCAATTTTGACCCAGAGCCAGGACCCTCAGAGGGAGCTGATATAAAACCATAAAAACATTGATAGCTTAGCTTAGCTACTACTTGGTCGGTGTGCTTGTATGGCAAGGTAGCCTACTTCATTTGATAATTCTGGTGTACTGACGCCATGCAGCTTAAAATTTTTCAGAGTGTAATTACGCAGGGTCCAGCTGCACTCTAAACCAATCCTGTTCAACTGATATAATTATTAATCACTCCTATCACCGCTGTATCTGTTTTTTCTTTTTTTTATCACCACTTTCCATTGCATCTAATCTCTGCAGTCAGCAATTTACCAACAGAACCATGCACACTGCACTGATAATAAACCTATAGGCCTCTTTCATATTGGTTCAACTTTCCATTTCAGATCTGCATAGCTTTCGTGGTTTATAGTCGAAATAGGCGAAATGGCTGCATACTGCATGGCAGCAAACGACCCAGGCAAACGGCTTGCATGCGCAGACGGCTACATGTGATTCCGAATTTGATCCCGACTGACTTCCTCACACGAAAACAAACTACCCGCAGGGAGCGTGTCACCGGCGCCAAACCTCTCCCGTGTGGCCCACGGAGCAGCAGAGCGCAGAGCGGAGTGCGGCTCTGCTGTGTCTCTTTAAGTACAGCAGGCAGTGCTGTTGGTCCGTGTGGGAGCGCAGGGCGCACGGTGCGGCGCTGCCTCTCCGCAGCGTCAAACAGGCTTCCTCAACACCGGGCAGGCGACAGAACAGACAGGTCGACCCACCGCCTGCATCACATCGCTTTGACCTGAGCAGACGACAGGAGCGAGTCCAACTAAAGAGGGGGGTGGGTGGGGGGAGCTGCCTGATATAAACTGGTGAGCCCACTGGGCCATTAACATTACTCCCTCCTTCTCCGACTGTGAGCTAGAAGCGAGTAGAGGTTCATCTGCGGTACAGTAGCCTACAGTATTATTGAACGGCACTGACTGTACGAGCTAATGGGATTGATGAACTGGCGTTAGTTTGTGTGCGGATGAGAGCACACAATGAGGAGAGCTTTTTCGGGGGGGCACGCTGCTGGTCATGTTTGGCTGAACGATCGTGGAGGTGAAACATCATGCCTGCGCCTGAGAGATGACCATCCTGAGCTGAGTTGCGTCCTGCGAACTGCAACATCAAACCATCTGCTTCAGCCTCATGTCGTCTAGTGTGTGAGGTAAGGCGAATACTTCCTACTTCCTAAAAAAAAAAAAAAAAAAACGAGAAGAAAATCTGTCTTAAACTGCAGCAGCTCTGGATGTGTACGTACAGAAGATGCTTGTATTCGTGTTGGTGTTGCAGACGCCCGGACGGTCTCACAGTGTAGCTGCACTGACATGAGCACTGCTGCTTCACATCAGTGAAGTAGAACAAAACCTCACAAACCCAGAAAACAGTTTTATGGAAATTGATTTGATTTATTTATGTGTTGTTTTAAATGATTACTGGCTTTTGAAAACCAATAAAGAAGCTGCCACTTGTTAAATCAAAGGCTGTGCTGTGGCTGCTGTAGGCTTTGTCCATTTAAAGGCCATATGTTTTGATTAGACTGAGCCTCAGGTGATAAAAATACCTGAGTGAAGTAGAGGCAGTGCTCTAATCTGCTCAGTCTGTTTCTATTTCATTATTCTCTCTATTTGACTCCTGGCTGGCTAATCCAATTGAGAGGTTGGTCTTATTATTTTTCTGTACTATTGTGACCTGTAATGTTTGTATGCTGCTGTGTGACAGATGTTTAGGTGTTTCTGCTCTCTGCTCAGTACACTGTCATGTTCAGTGGACAGTAAAGATTAGTCTGTAACCGGGTACACAGCTGGTGTCTCACAGACTGAACACCCTCACCATTTTCCCCTAAGTGTGAAGTCGTTGGACTTTCATTAGAGCCCTCCTGCTTATTATTAACCAGAGCTGTAAATCAGACACAGACAACAGACGGCAAAACCTAACCTGCATCTGAATATCTCATTTATTTATTTGGGAAACTCATTTAAGTGTTTTTCTGGATTTTGGCTCCTGCGTCGACAGAACGTCACTGTCGTACTTCTCTGAGGCCATTTATTTTTTAACGTTTTGGAACAAGAGTGCATCGCTTGACAGAGTGTTTGAGGCAATTACTTTTGTAATCAATCAATTAATTATTTCAGTCATTTTTAAGCAAAAACTCCCAGTTGCAATTTTTTTCAAATGTGAGGATTCGTGGCTTTACTCTGTTTTATATTATTGCAAAACCCAAATATCTTTAGGTTTTGAAATGTTGGTCAGATAAAACAAGACATTTATGGTCTCTGAGAAATTATAAAGGGCAGGTTTCACTATTATCTGACATTTTTTTTTATAAAAGAAAACAATCAGGAACATAGTGGGCACATTAATCAATAACTGGAATAATCTTTATTTGCAGCTCTACAAGTGCATGACTCACAAGGTAACGTCTAATGATTTTAATGAAATTATGTAAATTGCGCAGCTTCCACTCCCCCTCATTGTTTCTGATGACCTCGGTGTACTGTAGATCACTGTATTGAACTGCTCGGTGTGAAGTCTTGCAGTAGAACATAAGAAGAGGAGCATAATGGTTGTTAAGATTGATCACAGTGCTGTTGAAATCAATTGATGAATGGCAGTAATTGCTCATGCTGCTGCAATTTCAGCACTCGGTATGACAGTAAATAAAAGGCATAGAGCATGACAGAGCTCTTGTTATGGCAGCAGGAACATGGCACTCAGTTCATAGCCCCTGAATGTAGATCAGGCTGAATTGATCAGTACCAACATCACTGTAAAATAAAAACCAAAGCTCCCCTTCATTCTTATTCTTACTTAAACATCTGGCAATAGGAGTTTCTATGACATAATAATAGTGATGCTGTTTCCGCTGTGCAGGGCAGGAATCTGAGGACACTAATTTAAAAAAAAATGAAATGACACAGATTTTGTTGTTGACTGTGGCTGTGCTGTCCCGTGTGAATAATCACAGTCAAAGTCACAGCATTTTGCATAAACTGGAAACCCCTGTGGTTCTTAAGTGGTGCATCAGCCTTGGTGATTGCACCCTAAAGATCGAGTCCTGAAAGAAAGAAAGAAATGTTTTTCTAAATTTGATGTCGAATTTCAGAGGAGTTTTCTTCACATGCAAGCTTGGCTGTGGCTGCAGAGGAGGGCTTGAAAGTGGCTCAGATATGATGTCCTTTGTGTAGCGACGGGGTGGCCGGCAGTAGAGTGAGAAGGCTTTGAATTCCTCCAGAGCTTTATCTCTTCATCCTCTTGGCGACCTCTCAGGGACGTGCCGTGGATCATATCCAATGGCCGGGGGCTTTGAAGATCGCCAGAGGAAGGGACAGGAATTACAGTTTCCATGCTTGTGCTAGCCATTATAGTGAACTACCAGTGGTGCAGGGTGAGCCGCGTGTAGGCTGGATGGTGCACTCACTCCTGATATATCACCATCAAGAAAGGATGTCAAGATCCTCATTAGAGCTCTCACAAAAATAGCTTGGCATTAAATGCTCTGCTGTCTTCGCTGAAGATTCGCTGAAAGTTTCAGACTGTTTATAGCATCTGACATTCAAAAGCACAATAGTAGTTTCACACTCAGTGGCTTCAAATTCTGTTTTTATTGATGTGAATTCATAACACAAAGAGTATGCCTCAGATGATTATGTTCTGCGATGACTCATTTTCCTTTTCCTTGAAAGAAAAGATGATTTTAGAAAGAGGATCATCTTTAAAACTGTGTTACGGTTACACACAGCCAAGGAGTGGGTCAGCCTTGCTGCATGCACATCTCAGCCAGATTTTCAGCTTATAGAAGGATTATTCTCAACACCGGACCTCTTCCGTAAGACACATCCAGATAATCACTGCCTAGACAGGTGGTAAGATAATACAGGGAGGCCGACATCAGACAAAGCTGGGAAAACCCCAAACCTAAACTTAAACTCAAGTCTTAGGGTTTTGTTGATAGATATTAATGGTAGATTTGTATTTTTTTTAAGTATATTACATGACTCAAACTCAGATTCTGAGAGGGCGCAACACAGAAAACAAAATATATTGTATTAAGGTCCATCTACTGCATTACCCAAATGCTAAGTATTCAGTTTAATATTGTCCTTCGTTTCCGTCCTAATGTGCATTATGTAAAGAAAACTTTTCAGCCTGCTTACGTGCAGTTAGCAAGGACTGAGGGATAAAAAGCCAGTTATATTTTTGAACTCAGACGTGACTGTCTGGGTCCAAAAATATAGAGACAGAGACAGTCTCTCAGCCAGGGCACCCTGCTGGGGACGTGGATGTAGTTTAATCCAACCAAGCCTTATATGTGGTGTGAGATGGTGTGTATCTGTGTGTCTGTGTGTGTGTGTGTGTGTGTATCTGTTTGAGTCAGAGCGCAAGGCTGTGTGCTTGCTTCTATTTCCAAGCATGCTTGGGTGCTCGGGTGAAAATGCAAGGCTATCTCGAGAGTGTTTTCCTAGGAGATGTGGAGACTAAAACTGTTGCCACGGAGTCGTTAGAAAAATTATGCAACAACGATCTTATCTATCTATGTTGGGTGCATGAACATGATCATTATGGTGCAACAAAATATCTGTTGCCATCTCATGTGTTAAATCAGTGTTTCTCAAACGTTTTCTGTCACGCTCCCCTCAGTGTAAACCAAATCAAAAATAGAAGCAAAGAGCCATGTTGAATTTTATTGCTGGAACATTATCTATGAACTGTGAAACCTTATTTTTTTTATGCATCCTTCTCTTGAGTTGTCATGCAAATATAAAATGCAACTTCAATTTTGAGTTTTTATTCACAGACACAAGGCTCTCTTGTTACACTGACAGCATTAAATTTTGTCCTGGTTCTCCGTCCTATTAATCAAACTGCAAAGTGTTTCTTTTCATGGATATTTAATTTATGGTATTTATCAGATGTAGAAAAACATCTTTCCCCTTCTAAGACTTTTCCACCAAACGTGGATTATCACAACATTTACCATTTAGCTTGAGGTCGGTCAGGGTCCCAGTTGTGGCATCGACTCTGGCTCCCCTCAGTCTGACCCAAACTCCTCTGAACTGTCAGACTGACTCACAAGTGTGTGAATGTCCAACACTATCTGCTCAGGGGAGTCAGAAAGGCTTGACAGCGTATGAGTGTGTGTGTGTGTGTGTGAGTGAGAGACAGAGAGAGAGAGAGAATGAAGAGTGTGAAAGCCATTGAGAAAGTGAAAAAAAGACGAGGAGCAGAAGATAAGGAGAAAACACTATAAAAATATAAAAGCCATTTTCTCCGTGGTCCACAGCTGACCTTGAGATGGTGCCAGTCGCCAAGATTAGCACATCACCACTGTAATTGCTCACCTCAAGTAGCAGACCCCCTTGACCTTTCTCCAGCTTGGGGCCTGCTCCACAAAAAGGCCTTTGTTGGTGTTAAACTGCTGGGCTTTGTTTTCTTTACCTGCTGCACCAACACAGCTCCAACCTGGCAACAGCCGAGCCTTTAAATAAAGGAAATGCAGTTTACCAACTCCACTTTTAGGAAACTGGAGGACAAAATGGTCTGAGTGCTGCCTGTATGTTAATCTGAAAAGCACTTATCTTTGGGTAATGCTCCTGGCCCTAAACTAAAGCTAAACAAGTTCCCACATTCAAGTTATTTATACTGTAATAGGTCAAAGAAAACTGAATAATGTTAAATTAAAGATAACAAGTCATCATTTGTTTCCTCTAATTTTAAGGATGTTGGCTGGAAAGCGTTATTTAATGACACCAAACATATAAAGTAGTCCTTTTTTAAGATCTTTTGGGTCGATAAAGTAGATATTACGACCACATTAGCGAGCCGGTGTGGAGAACATCACTTGGAACAGCGTTAGTCAATGTGCGAAAAGACTGCATCCAGACTGCGCTGTGAAGAATTGGAGGCACGTTCTCTTTAAAGAGGATGTCGGGAAATTTTGATAAACCCTCTCCCTACAATACAGCAGTGCAGCAGCAGGAGCCTCGGTGTGATAAAGAATCAGAAGGAGTGGAGCCCCCTCTGGGTCTGCCAGCCCTGTGCTGTCAGTGTCAGCAGCCGCTTCAGATCTCCTTTCAGCGTGCTAGGCCCTAATTGGGCTGTCACACTTGCAAGAGAAATTTGTCAAGTTTCTGTGAAATGAACTACTTGGCCAAATCAAGATGTACA